GCACATGCTTAATCAGTTTCAGATTGTTTTCACCAATTCTGTGGTCCTTGTCTAGAGCATGTTGGGCGACACAGGATTTTTCTATCATTCCGTATTTCATGTGTGCACAATGCTCCTTGAAGCGGGTTTTAATCGCTCGTCGGCTCTGGCCGATGTATTTGCTGCTGCAATCTTGACAACTGATTTCGTAAATCCCCGTCCTTTCTGTTTTTTCCAGTCTATCTTTTGAATTACCAAGAAGCTGTTGCAATTTATAAGAAGTGTTATATGCAACTTTCATAGTTACTTTATCGAATATCCGTTGAAGCCCTCTCGTGTATTGGGGTTCATATGGGATTACTATAAACGTGTTATTACTCTCCTCTTTTTGAAAAGTCGAAGATTTACGAAGTGCTTCCCTAAACTTGCATTTTCTAATTATCTTGTCAACTACATCTGGGTTAAAACCGTTTGCTTCATCTACATACCGAATCACTCTCTTTTCATTGTCGTACTTATCTTTCTTTAAAGGAAAAGTTATTGACCTGTGTACCAAAAATTGTCAAAATTGAGTTTGAAGCAAACTATGTTTGTTTTATTTGTGTTGAAACATGAGGAGTTTGAATCGCACCACTTTAACCCTATAGAGATCCAGAGTTATGATGTCTCTGAGATTATCTTCATTTGTCCCACGCCAAAGGATCGTGGTGTCATCCGCAAAAAGTGTGAACTTCCCTTTAATGTCAATGGTTACCAGATCATTCAGATAAAACAGAAAGAGGATAGGACCCAGAAACGAACCTTGTGGTACCCCTGATGGATTATTCTCAATATGCGATGTATTTCCTTGGAGTTTTACTAACTGCTTCCTGCCTGTTAGATAATTGTAAAGCCAGTTATATGACAAACCTCTAAAGCCATAGCACTGAAGTTTAAATAATAGTGTTTCATGGTTCACGCAGTCGAACGCTTTTGAGAAATCACAGAATACTGCCCCAATAGATTCTTTATTATTTAATAAACCAATATATACATCGTCCAGAAAAGAGAAGATTGCTTCGCCTGTGTTTTTATGGCTTTGGAATCCATATTGAGATTCGCATAGTATGTTATGATTATTTAAGAAGTTAAGCATTCTCTTTTTAACCAGTTTTTCAATTATTTCTGAGATTCTCGGAAGCAATGATATAGGCCGGAAGTTTGATGGAAAATTCATTTCAACACCTTTATGAAGCGGAATGACTATTGTTAGTTTCATACATGTAGAGTTTAGACCCAGAAGGTTGTCATCAACCCATATCTGAATATATCTCACACCCTTTTCTGATTTTTGAACTTCCAACTACTACCTGTGAATATGAGTGCCATATCGTCCGCATATGATACGAGATGGCCCCCAAAATTGCTGTTGAAACATATACTATTGATGAAAACAAGGAATAGTATGGGACCAAAAAATGTTCCCTGTGGCATTCCTGTTTTAACTTTCATTGCCTCACATTGCCTTCCATTGCCCTATGTGATAGTCTTCCAAAGTATTGTATGTTGGGTCACGTATAANGACCAAAAAATGTTCCCTGTGGCATTCCTGTTTTAACTTTCATTGCCTCACATTGCCTTCCATTGCCCTATGTGATAGTCTTCCAAAGTATTGTATGTTGGGCCACGTATACCATACCCACGAGATGCTATTTGCGTGATTAACGATGTCGAATGCCTTACCTAGGTCTAGAAATACAGCTAAACATTTTTCTCATCTATCCAAAGCTTCTATTCTTTTTGAACAAAATCTAGCACCAAATTTAGTTATAATAGACTTTATCCAAGAACTCATCAATGATCTCTGAGTCGCGAAAATCTCGAAACTGTTAACAGTAACAACTATTTAGGAAAAAAGTTCCATCTGGAATGATACAACCAAATATTATTCCAAATCAGGCATTTTGAAGGACGATGTTCCCAAGTATACTGGAAAATTATTATTATTCTCTAAAGATGACAGTCTTTCACCTAGATATAAGATTAGTAGTCGAACCCCCCACTCACGGGAAGAACTCTCCAAGACTTCTCCAAAGTATGAGTCGATTCCTACCTAAAAACTCTATATAAAAATGTCACACGGCGGTAGCAAAGACTTCTACTACAAAAATTAACGAACCAAGTAGAAGAAACAAGGAACTTTTGAATGATTTACAACAACAAGAACACGAAAGGCTCAGTGGGTCTACGAGCAGATGTTCTTCTCGTACTTCTGACGAATGGTAACGACCGTGTTGAAAGTGACAGCAAATCTGAGAAAAATAAGCCAATGATTTCCAGAGGAACATCTCCAAAAAGGCAAGGCCCGCAGAGAGGCAACAGAGACCATTATGTATTTCTAAATGACTACAATAATACCTTTGTTTTGATCTGGTCTGTTCTATGTAGACCAGAGGTCAGGATAATTCCAATTACAAGCTCTGTGGGAAGAGACTTGAGAATTTTCTCTCTCTTTCTGTCGCACCTAATCTCTTCACATGGATAAGTGCGATAGAGAGAGATAATTCTCAAGTCTCTTCCTAGATTTGACAAGTTGTACAGTCTCTGGTCTAGGAAAAAACATTTATACACGATAAAGAGGTTACCGTATGAACTTTAAATTTTTTAGGAGAGTATCACATTGGTGATGAAGCTGGGAAATTTTTCATCCAAACGTGAGGGTTGAGCAAAGAATTTATCTGAAAATGATATTTTTCAACCACCTAAAATTCAACACTGGAGATTATTGAAATTACCGGAGTTGTCAAACTTATAAATTTAAGAGTGGAGACCTACATAAATCTAGTTGCTCGTTTAGGGTTATATATTTCGGGTTTTTAATTGATTTATTAATTTCCATGGCTTCCAACAAACTAATTTTCTTCCCTTTATTACATGTCTGTAGGGTTTTGAGAGTATTTTTAATTATCTTGTGTTTTGTCCAAACAGATGTGTTCACGGAGCCTTACGTCAAAATTTTTACCGGTTTGGCCTATATACACTGCAGATCATTCCCCGTTTGGGTTTTGCGTTGAACGGAAAAGTTTCAAGTTTACCTCAGTTCACTTAGCTTTCTGATTTATTTAGTATTTGTAGTAATCTTTCTGTTGGTGGAGATGGTGACACATAAACCAACTCTTTTCGCAGATCTCAAGTTACATTGGCGACAAGGCTCAGTTCCTCAGCCCTGACGACTCCATTTCCCTATCCCTGGAGTACTACCAGTCCCACTTAGACACCACCGATAAAGAAGACAAGCCATCTGCTGCTCGTAGCTCGAACATTAACGAAAGTGAACTCAAACAAACGGACATTAGTGAAAATAGTGATAAAAGCAAGACTGATTTAACGAACGAAGCAAACAAAACCAGTGAATGTGTTAAAGACGACGTCGTGACCGGTAGTGATAAAGAAAGTACTGTTAACGGCGAAAAACAGACCAGCAGAGATTGTGATAAAAGGTTTCTGCAGTGTCCGGCAGCGGTTTCCATGAAGCATCTTCAGAAGTTCGTGAAGATGAAGTACGGTCTTACTGGAGATCACAGGGTAAGTTGTTACTTTCCAACAATAATTTTTGCTCCCATTTACTTCATGGTACCTACTTGTTATCTTCTACTGGAAATTCCTCAAAAATGACTTGCAACATCTCATTTCGAAGGTTTTATTTGTATATAATTCTTTATTTCACCTCACAAGCATTAACTTTAATAGGATTACTTCTAAAGAATTTACAATATATGTAACTACAAACGAATCAAACTTGATAATAATAATATTTTCAGTTGAGATGCTTTGGAATGCTCTTGAAGTTTTAATCTTTAACTATTGTCAACTGTAAATTTGATTTCGATTCAATAAAAATAAAACTGTTGAACAATATTCGCGGAAAGTCGCAATTTTTCGAGCAAACCTGCTTGAAGTTCATTAAAAATTCAGTGGACATCCAAATATCTGCCCAACTATTTGAATTTTGACATTTTGGTTTTCACTAAGTTCACTTCTGCGATTTGCTAGTATTATAAATTTTAATTCAATCGGGTTTGGTTTCAGTTTCACGATTGGAATTCTTCAAAAATATCGTCTCCTGAACTTCCTGTTAAAATACTTAAAAAGAAAAAGCAAGGAAAAACAAAATAAAACTGTGATTGTTATATATAATGATATCAGAATGTAAACACATAAAGAGTTTACTTCACCTTTTCTTTACAAGATATCAATAATTTGATTTAATTTCAGTCTAACAAATATGTAGTCTTCATATTTAGTTTTGAACTTTATGACATTTAATTTTTGAGGGGGTTAGGGACAGAATTGTACTTTCAACAAATTTGGTACCTGAAAGACCGCTTGACCACTTCTGTTTTGAATTTTGGCATTGCAATCATATTTTTATATCGAATATTCAGGTTATGGATGTCCGTACGATATGTTGATATGAAGGTTTTTTTGTTACAATTACTTTATGAAAAAAGACAGACCGCGTGAAGTAACCTTCTTTTCACCATGTTCAGCCATCCAATTTCTTGAAGCTTATATGAGATCCTGTGCCGCCGACCAATACCAAAAATTAACCTAAGGCACGAGTTTTCAACTTTTTGAATCTTATTTTTGTATTCATTGGTTAAACATGGGCCATAAAGAACATCCGCATGATTGAAAACTGAAAGCACCAAAGATTCACTTAAGAATATGTCGGTTACCATAAATGATTTTCAGTGTAATTTTTCAAATCTCAGATCTATATCCATCAAAACACCAAGATTTTTTGCTTGACTAACAATATCTAGAGGCTCATTTCGAATGCAGATATTCATAGAGTTATTCACAATGGAACGGTGAAATCTTGGATCAAAAATCGTTACATTTGATTTACTAGGGTTTACAAATGAACAGTGGTCCGTTGCCAATTCAACAAATCTATTTATAACTGCATTGATAATGGCACAAGTATTCTCTGCCATATTCGCCGGAAAGCTGTGTTATAATTGAGTATCATCAGCATTTAAATGCACCTGACAAGTGTGTAAAGCCTGTAGTAAGTTGGATGTATATATAGAGAACAATAAAGGTCCGAGTATGGATCCTTGAGGTATCCCTGATTTGATATCTGATATCTGAGTTGTATTCCTCTATACTAACCAGTTGCTGTCTATTTTTCAAATATTCCGTCAATAATACAACAGCGTTGGCAGAAAAAAATGCGTAACAAAAGATTGTGATTAATAGTGTCATTAATAGTGTAAGATTGTTGTTTTCTTCCACTCCTGTAATTCTGTCAAGCTCTTCACTCAGTATCAACTTTGAAAATTGTTGCTTTTTTCTAATACCACATTTTTTACAATAGTTGATCAGTCAATCATTGTTTATTCTACGCAGGATGTTCCAGTTTTTCCTTTTATAGTGAATCATTGATCATTCAAAAATGGAACCCCATCAAAACAACTGATTTTCTCATAGTTACTTAATATACAATATCAAATATCGAAAGTAATTGAAATCTTTCAATTCCACTATATTTTTTATTTTATATTTCAATCGATATTTCAAACGTTACTGAACCGTCTCATTAAAAAAAAATCCTAACATTCTTCATGCACATCGAAGTTTCATGGTAAAGGATTGTAATATATAATTAATATTACTTGAGAAAGTTTGTAAGAAGCACTTTTACCTTAAGTAATCGCTTATTACTTTCTACACTTCATCTCCGACTGATTTATCAATCAGGCAAATAATCACTATTTTCGTTTTTCCATTCTAAAATGACATTCTTTATACTTTATGTCCATAGCGTATAATTTACACTGATTATTTTCCTTTTAATGTATATAAACGGTGCAAAAACTTATGAACTGCCAATAAAACGGTAATATAATCCATCTCACTACTCGTTATTTATGTAATTTGGTACAAGTTTATGAAATCCAGATGTTTCCATCAATGTAATGAACTAAAAAACCAATTTCACCCAAGCTCTCAAATGGAGATAATCTTCTCACGTCTGGGCTGAACATAGAAGATACATTTTCACTATTATTTGTAACTCAACTTCGACTCATTCAAAGTAGTTTACATCTGTACATATTTAACGTTTTGTGACTTGACACCGGGGTCTCAATCTGCCTGCTACTCAGGTCTTGTCACAGGTCTCGCTGTACATTACATTTCGATATAGTATACATATATAATCTTCATCAACAACAAAGCTATTGGCACTGATGAAAGACCTGTTTCTGTAACTAAAAATACGCCGTTGGATCACTAAGCAAGCTTTTCAGGTGTTTCCAGTCGTTCAACGTTTCGGCTTCGACTTTGAAGCCATTTTCAAGAAGGTATGACTACACTAAGGTCTCAATCTGCCTACTCCTCAGGTAGTGACACGCTTTAAGGGTTTTGTGACTTAACACCAAGGTCTCAATCTGCCTACTCCTCAGGTCTTGTCACTGGTCTCCGCAAGGGTCTCATATAAATATTCGGAAAAGGTCCTGCGGTCAGCAATCTGGTAATCTGAAGTGCGGATTGAACCGCATCTAGTGTTTTCAACGTCAAACAACTGAAAACAGCATACTTATTGTGTTTTTTATTATTTGACGTTTTGACTTCGACTTTGAAGCTATTTTCAAGAAGGTGCGGCTCACTGGGGCCTCAGTCTGCTTACTCTTCGGGTAGTGGCTTCAAATGTTTTGTGACTTGACGCTGAGGTCTCAATCTGTCTAATCTCCAGATAAAACTGTGTTTGATTTTCCTCTTGAAGATGATCACTAGGTGTTAAAATAATGCTTTGGTATTGGGAAAAAACTCCAGTAAAAGATATGTTTGGGTGTTGGTTTTCATACTTCAGCCGTCAATGCATCTCAGCCAGAAACAACTGGTGTATAGTCATTTGGGAGATTTTTCTTACCCTTCCTGAGTTTAAGCTGAATTCAAACGATCTTTCAACAAGACAAAGACTATTTCATCAAGATCAAACTATTTTTTGATATTGAGTTGTTTTTCCCTGAAAATTTTTTGCCAAAAAAATTATCCTATCAAATTTGTCTATTTCTAGTCATGTGTGTCGAAATAACCAATGAAACCATCATTACACTGATAACTACCCATGGATAGTTTTCACGGGTAGTTATCACTTATGTCATGACATTGCTAAGCAACCAACACAATAAAGTTGTTTGACATTTCAGTAATTCAATTTATTTCGAAAATGTCACTTCCTCGCTTTGGTGTTCAAAATGATGCGGCAATTGACAAAATCATTGAAGAAAATACACCAAAAAATACTGTCAATAGTAAAAAATACACTTGGAAAATATTTATGGAGTTATATCATTATACGAATTGTTCTTTTAATAACTGTGTGTTCAATAAATAATTTTGTTCGAATTGCAAAAAATTTTCTCACCGAATATCCCTCGAACATTGATAAATAACTCATAATTTTATCACAACTTCCTCAAGCACGTTATTTTAGGTAACATCCCTCCGCCTTCGGCGTCGGGATGTTACCAAATAACGTGCTTTCGAAAACTGTGATAAAATTATTTCGTTAGTTATCAATGTCCTTGGGATATTATAGCTGAAAGTCAACTACTCATTTATTTGTTTTATTGTGGTTTTGTCTTCAGGAAGTCGAATAATCAAAAAATTAATAGTTATCAGTGGAAATGAATGTCTATACAAAGAAAAATTGGGAAATGATTTGAAGATCTTCCTATTTCGCGGTTAAGTTCTGCTTCAATAAGTACTAGTATTTGTTATTTGAATTGATGAATAAAAGTTGTTCACAGTGATTTTAATAACCAGCAATTTTATTATTCAACATTGTCGAGAATATTCCCTTCCAGTCGTTCAGCAAATATATTACTTTATATAAATGAGATTACACTAATTAAATTTATAATCAGTGTATTTATAATTTTTTTCAGGTGGACATCATATATAAAGGAGAAGTTTTACCTCAAGACTTCAGTTTGATGGACGTCGCTTACACCTTCAAATGGGCAAGAGTAAGTATTTCTAATATTTTTCGCTCCTTCATGGTACATATTCGTTACAAATGAACCCAAAGATATACGTCATTAATTTTTACTAAATGTGAACATTGATCTGTTGAAAACACTTATTTCCACTTTCACCAGAACAAAAATTCAGTCTGAATTTCACTAGTTCGGATTTGCATTGTCTAATATGATTGTAATAAGATTTGAAATCTATGAGAGAACAAATAAAACTAGAATGAATAGCTAAAATATCGATCATATTAAGAAATAAAACGTGGAATGAAAATACAATAAGACGAATAAAATAATCAATTAGTCTTTTCACAAACTACACTTAAACGATTTGATCTCCACTAACTTTATTGAAAATAATCATAACATGTTACGCTAAAACATTAGCTTTTTCAAATGATTAATACATCCAAGCATCCTTACATTCATATTTATATACTACAGGTAACCACAATCGAGACTACCTGTAAGAAATTACCTGAATCTCTACATCACATACCTGCTCGATTATGCTTACCTAAAGCAAATTGCCTACCATCTACATCAATAATAATTCTTTATGGGTTTTTAAGAAAACAAGTTCAATAATGGTGATCTATTCAAATCTAATTGGTCATTCATTAGAATATTTGAATTTTTAAGTTTATTAATTTCCATTGCTTCTAAATGATTCAGTTTGAAACCTTTATTTTCAATGTGCAAAATTTCGAATTCTTCATTAAAGATGTGATTTTCTTCTAGAAGATGATTTGAATACGTTGAATTTGTTTTCTTGTTTACATAGCTCTTATGATGTTCCTGGATTCGATTCCTAAATGTCCTGCCAGTTTGACCAATATATACCTTAGGGCACGTTCCACACTTTAATTTATATACCCCTGATTTCTCGAATTTAGATGTCTTATCTTTATTATTTTTAACTAGCTTTCCCAACGTATTACTTGTTCTATATGCAATTTTAATATCTCTATTTCTCAAAAATGAAGCCACTTTTTCCGTTGGTTGTCCAAAATAGGTTAAAGCTCTATAATTTTGATTATCTACCTTATCAATGGGAAAAACGTCNATATAATTGATATTTTAGCTATTCATTCTTATTTTACTTTTTCTTCCATATATTTCACATCATATTAGACAATTGAAATCCGAACTAGTAAAATACTGTCTGTCTGTTGGTGCACGTTTCGCTAACCTAGTTAGCATCAACAGGAGATGATATATATAGTCAGTCTATTTCTTTGAGCAGTGGAGTAATAAATTATTTTCAAGTACCTGTTCCACAGACGTACAGAATTGAGTCGAAGGAAAACGAAGATTCATTTTTTACGCCACATGTTCCAAATCCAACTTATCATGCGAACGTTCATACCTGTATATAGGAAATGATAGATATATAACAATCACAATTTCATTACAGTGGCAATATGTATTTAATCTTCAGGTTAGCCATTAACGTCAATAGTTATTTCCTGTGCTTGGAGCTTTATCTCATAACTATCTTGATTCGTTCCACAATGAAAATAATTTGGCGAAGTTATTCATGAATTACTTCCTGACGTCCCGGGCGGATTTTCACGATTTGTTATTACTGAAGTGCAATGAAGACCTTTCAAAATCGGCCTAATTCACGCAACTAAATTTACACACCAAATCAAATAAACTGACTGCAGATCGTCGGCATAATAATAACCTATAAATATTTACTGATAAAATTGTTGCGCATACAACAGTTATTGGGGACTCGAATTGAAATCTATTTTTAGAACGATATTAGGTTGTTCCATAAGTTTTGTCCCTTTTTATGAGTCTACTTTAGACTGTAATATCTCAGTGAGAAATGTTTCTGTGGAAGTGCTTGAAAATATGCAATACTTCTGGATAGTGTTTCCTGAAACACTAAAAATCAAACCATTTTTTGTGGATATCAATATTGCTATTGGTAAACTGTGAATCTGAAAAAATACAATAAAATTATGTAGAGTATTATTGGGTAGATTCATGACGGAATTGAGATTCACTCCTTTGCTCGATTATCGCTGAACTAACAACAAAAAATACTTCTTTTGCAGCGTCTTTTGGATTTTGCTTCTCAAATCGAATCAAATCAAAATGTACTTTATTGTCGAAGATGAAATCTCATTGACAAAGTGTTACTATCCTAAGAAATATAAGATACACAACTTGAAAGATATTGTCGAAGATAAAATATTATTGTCAAAAGTGTTATTATTTTAAAGAATATAAGTTATACAAACCAAAGGTAATATTTGAACATTTGGTGATTTCAGCATTTTGGGGTGAAAAAGTAGTCAGAATGTAATAATATATATGCTACATATTGAAATGAATAATAATAATGATGAATATTCTCATGCAACACATAAATGTAAGTATGAGATTATAAAAACTATAAAACATGAAAATATAAAAGTGAATGCCTAGAAAATAACAGTAAGTATCAACTTCGTAGACATTTTCAACTGTACAGTTCAGAGCTAAATGTAAACATCAAACAAAAAGTTAAAAAAGTCACATAGTTTAAATATTCTGTCTGAATAGAATTCGTCTTAAGAATAAAAGGCCTTTGAAATCAGAAGCTTTTTTACAGACTTTCTAAATTCAGTGGTACATGTTATGCCTTTGATCTCAATTGGCAAATGGTTAAACATTTTTTTCCATCATATATGAAAGACCTCTGTGTTTTTGATGATATTGGAATCGATATACCTATATTGAGCTTATTTCTGGTATTTCGATGTGGTGAAATGAACATTTCCGTCCTGTATTTTTTTGCATCAGACATAACATTTCCAATATAAGTATGGAAGCAAAGCCAAGACTTTATGCTTTCTGAATAAAGGTCGACAGGAATCCCTGAATCCAAATCTACACATATGTCTAACTCCACTTTTTTGTAGAACAAACACCCTATCAAACATGTATGGCAACACGTTTCCCAAAAACAGATACCGTATCTCACATGGGAATCGATGAGTGCAAAGTACACATTTTTTGCCATACTAGTGCCCAGTTCATTTGCTGATACTCTGACTGCGAAGCATCCTGATGAAATTTTTTTACATTTTTATTTATGTGACCTACAAAATCCAAATTTTTATCAAGTTGTAATCCCAGAAATTTTGCTGACATTTTGTTTTCTATTAATTGAGTACCCAGGTAGATATCTAGTGTGGAGCACTTGAGGGGTGATGATGCTAGTTTTTGAGATATTAAATGACAAGGAATTAGCATCTCATCAGTCTTTTATTTTTATAATATCCATGCTAATCAAATCATACAGTTCCCTTTCATTCTTGCAATGCCAAAATAATGTAGTGTCATCAGCGATTTGGGTTATTTCTGCGGTTATATTAATGCGGGCTAGGTCGTTGATATATAACAAGAAGAGAATTGGACCTAGAACCGATCCTTGTGGAACACCACAAGTAACTGTCTGGAGATGGGATATGTTGTCCGAGAGTTTGACTTTCTGAGTACGTTCTGACAGGTACGGTCTGAACCATTTCAAAGATATATCTCTAAAGTCATACACTTCTAGTTTTTGCAGCAGAATTTCATGATCCACGCAATCGCAATCATATTTTTTTTTCATTCTCGTGAATTATTGTTAACGATTTATGACGAATATAGTACTAGATTTTTCTATGAAAGAGAGTTAGCAAATAAAATTGATTCTGCTGTACACATATGTTTTCGATAGGTTTCCAATAGTCATTCAAAAACTGCAAACGATATATTTTTATTATACGGGGACCTTCATTGCAATACAAAGAAAATTTATGTATTTTCATAATTCAAAAATGTCACTGCTCCTTTTAGAAATAAAACAATGCTATCAGGTTCATTATATTATAAAACAATCGTTGCTACTCATATAGTCGGATAAACGTATGTGATTTGATCACTTCCAAATATGCGAACCAATTCTGAATGAAGTAATTCTATTGTTACAATTGTAAACACTTCGATTTCATACGTTCAAGCAGTGCTGTGATGGTTTCATTAATATTCTATCCGATAAACTGAACATTAACATTATCAAAAGCCTCTGGAATATTTCAATAAGTCTATCAAATATGTCGCGATAGATCATCCGTGCATCATAAGCCAGAATTTTCAAGTTACAAGATTTGCGATTATGAAAATACAATGTCGCAGTGGCAGATTTAGGATGTTGTTATGCATAGGGTCAAATTTGATTGTGTAGGTGTTGTAATTTTATGATGATAGTTGGTGTCCACAAAGAAATGATAATATGATTCCAGTTGATAATCATTACTGGTGTAACTCTTGCCATACACTCGTCTTGAAGATTCTTGCCGAGACATTTTCCCAAAACTATTTTTTCAAGCATTTATATTCATTTGTTTACCACTGGGATACATTCTTTGACAACGTTATACTAAACCAATCCTACCAACTGCGCCAACTTTTTCAAAACCATTGCAATTTCTCTATTGCGTTTCAACTCATTTCATTTACACCTGGACAAGCACCCATTTACCATTTCCTAGACAGTTCACAGAACAGACATTTTGACGTGAAATGAAATATATTACCTGAAATCGTATAAAGAATTTTGCTGATTATCCGGTGGAATGCGTTCACATTCATGCCAAACAATTTTAACTAAAATCTCGGAAATTATTCTCAAAGAATCTCTCAAATCGTTCTGAATAGAACACATGCAGCGTGAGAAGCGATGTATAGTAATTTTTTCTCCTCGTAGATTAAATATTGTATAACGCGGAGCTCATTCGCGCAACGATATTGCGTAAGTTTTTATTGTATTTGCTTGATTCGTGATAATATTGTTGATGTTTGAAACAGCGGATTTACTTACTGATTCCAACTTTATAGGTCCAGCAAATGAAACGTAATAGATATTACCCGTTAACTATTGTTTTGTGGAAATTTTTAGAACACATACACGATACCGCAGTATACAAATGTACAATACAGTTTTAATCAAA